ACATCTGTGGATATGTGGAGAGTATAGCCAGAGGCGGGAACATCTGTAGGTATGTGGAGAGTATAGCCAGAGACGGGAACATCTGTGGATATGTGGAGGGTATAGCCAGAGGCGGGAACATCTGTGGATATGTGGAGAGTATAGCCAGAGACAGGAACATCTGTGGATATGTGGGGAGTATAGCCAGAGGCGGGAACATCTGTGGATATGTGGAGAGTATAGCCAGAGGTGGGAACATCTGTGGATATGTGGAGAGTATAGCCAGAGGCGGGAACATCTGTAGGTATGTGGAGAGTATAGCCAGAGACGGGAACATCTGTGGATATGTGGAGGGTATAGCCAGAGGCGGGAACATCTGTAGGTATGTGGGGAGTATAGCCAGAGACAGGAACATCTGTGGATATGTGGGGAGTATAGCCAGAGGCGGGAACATCTGTGGATATGTGGAGAGTATAGCCAGAGACGGGAACATCTGTGGATATGTGGAGAGTATAGCCAGAGGCGGGAACATCTGTGGATATATGGAGCGTATAACCAGAGGTGGGAACATCTGTGGATATATGGAGAGTATAGCCAGAGGTGGGAACATCTGGGAGAGTCCAGAGCAGATGTGAACATTCTGAGGTGGGCCACGTGGGGGAGGGGAAAGAGGGAGGGTAAGGGAAAAGAGGGGAAATGAGGTGCAGCAGCCAAGGGGGCAAAGGTATAAAAGGCTTGATTATATAGGGAAGAGCCTCTGGGAGAAGGGCAGCTCAGGCCCTGGGCTGGAGAGTTCAGGGTAGAGGGTGGGGTAGGCCAGTCACACCCTGTAAGAGGTAGGGACTGATGGATGCTGGGAGAACTTGGCAACTGTGTCCACTTTGATATGTTAAATAGGCATCTCAGCCATTTGTCCCAGGGTTTGAGACTTAACAGTATAAAATGCCACGGCAGCTAAAACATGCGGAAACGTAATGCTATTATTGCGGCAATCAAGTTAGTTTGAGTGCAAATTCTATTGAGAGTGGATACGGGTATTTATTAACATTTATAAATTCATTTAAGCTGCTGATTAAAGGGGTAATCTAAGTTGAAGTGAATCTGAGCATGACAGAATAAAACCTTTATCCTTCAACCTCTTTCCAGAACATTCTTCAGGCTGATACTGGCTCGTTTGAAGTTTTGACCTCCGAGGCCCCCCACCCCCACCCCGAGGCAGAGTCTTGTGCATCCTAGAGCCTCCTGCCCTGGCCTCTCAAATTCTAGGATCACAAGTGTGCACCACCTCTCCCCCCTCAACCTTCAAGGTGTCCAGGGAAGGGTCCCCTTCCCTTTCATCCTGGACTTGCCAGGGGCACCCTGTCCTCCCCTACCTCTAGTCCTGAGGACTCCAGCTCAGGATACCCACTGCTCAGTGTCTCAATCAACTTCCTGTTGCCTGCAAGATTTACGACTCTCAGCTCCAGCACCGCATCTGCCTACATGCGGCCATGCTCCCAGTCATGATGATAATGGACTGAACCTCTGAAACTGTAAGTGAGCCACCCCAATTAAATATTTTCTTTATAAGAGTTGCTGTGGTTGGGCCGGAGAGATAGCTCAGAGGTTAAGAAGTCCCCGAGTTCAATGCCCAGCAACCACAAGGTGACTCACAACCATCTATAGTGATATCTGGTGCCCTCTTCTGGCATAAAGGCATAATGCAGCCAGAACACTGTGTACATAATAAATAAACATTTTTTAAAAGTAGTGGTATGAGAATACACACCGAGTAAACTATTCATAAAAGTAGGAATGTGAAGTCCTTTTTTAAAAAAGAATTTCTGTCATCATGGTGTCTCTTAAAAGCAATAAAAACCCTAAGACAGAAGTCCAGCAGGCAGCATATCATTTTTCTATCAAACGACTTGTTGATTATGATGCTTATTTTGTGTGAAGTGTGTAAGCAATGCTTTCCTTGTCAATCAGCTCGCTTCTCTGCAAGCTGTCTTTAACCACGACGCCTAACTACAAGAGTGAGGTCTCCTAAAGTACCTGGCAGCTTACATAATGGAAACAAGGCAGAAGGCCCAGTTGGGAAGGCTCAAGGCTGCTGTGCAGGTGGACCCAGAAGGAACCAGTCCCGGATCCTGGACTGTTCTTGCTTTCAGAACACTCCCCGCGTGAACACACGAACCTCTCCAATCATTGCCTCCAGTTTGTCCTGGTGCGGGAGAATTGTCTGTATTCTGTCAATCATGTATTTTAATAAAACGATTGATTGGCCAGGCAGGAAGTAGAGGCGGGTCAACCAGACAGGAAGTAGAGGCGGGGCAATGAGAATAGGAGAAGGCTAGGGAGGAGGAAGCTCCCTCTGTCATTCCTGCCCAGACTACCGAAGAGGCAACATGTGAGCTGACAGCTGAAAAAGGTACCAAGCCATATGGCTAAAATAGATCAGAATAATGGGTTAATATAAGCTATAAGAGTTAACAAGAATCCTGACCTAATGGGCCAATCAGCTTTATAATTTATAGAGATCTCTGTGTGATTGATTTTCTCTGGGATTTGCTGGCTGTGGGGTACCAAGCGGGAACAACAAGCCGGCCCTCATGTTACACTGTCCATTCCCAAGTTTGAGTCTGGCATGAAGGACATTTAGCTGTGTTTCTGCCCTGACTCTTCACACCCTTCTCTCTGCGCTGTTCCAGAGGAGGTAGGAACTATATCTGGTACCCAGGTTTCCATAATAGGATGAAGCAACGGAAACCTGGTTTGGGTATCTGTTTCCTTGCCAAGATTACATAAAACAGAGAAATCCACCCAGAGGAACATGTGGTGCTTCCGGGAGAGCAGTGGGATTCTAGGAAGTCGGAACTCTGTGAAATGTGGATAGGAATTTAGACTCTACTTAGTAGTTTATGACAGAGGCTCATTAGATAACACTAACAATTGGCTCTCGTCCTGATCTGTACATAGGTCCATTTCCTGGGGTCAAACTCTGTCCTGTTTGAGTTCCTGTCCTGACTTCTTCCAGTGGTGAACAGTGGTATGGTGGTATAAGCCAAATAAACCCTGTCTTACCCAAGTTGCTTTTGGTCATGGTGTTTAATCACAGCAACAGAAACCCTAACTAAGACAATATCTTCACTGAGCAAGCATGGTTAGGAAGAAACAATCAGGGGCATGCATTTGTCTATCTGACAGCAGCAACAGACACATAAATGCGCCGATGATGGAGATGTATGGAAAAAAAATCAATGGGAGGATGAGGCTTCAGTATGTATTCAGTTGTTTGCATTATTAATTTATATGATGTGATTTCTAATAATAGTCGTATTTCAGTAATTTTCTTGAAGCATTTAACAATAATTCCTAGAAGCCAGTGCCAACACAGCCCTGATATGAAACAGATCAATATGTATGAGAGAGAGAGACAGAGACAGAGAGAGATCGTGAGATAAAGAGACAGAGATGGTGGTATATCACAATTATTTGCCATCTATCTATCTATCTATCTATCTATCCATCCATCCACCTATTTGTTGATTGACTCTGCACTCACTAAGATGCTTGAAGCAAAAACTTGTAAAATTTTAACAGTAGCCTATAATACTGGAGATCCTAAAAACAGAACATTAGCACCTGCCATTATATATAAAAAATAAATTGTTAACATCCCAACCATTTTGTCCCTCATTGCAGATCCAAGGGCAGGGTAAGCAAATGCAAGAGAGATCAGGGAAGCTGTGACCATTGCCAGGTAGAGCTGAGACCAGAACCGAGTCCTCTGACCTTCAGTTCACTCCTACCATCTTGTGTGACCTCTGACGTCACCGAAACAGCCACAGACTGTGCCCAGCCCATCCCATAATCTGGGATATGCTTGTCAGGCCTCATCCCCCAGTCTGAGTCTCGGCAGTGCTCTTATCTTTGCAAATAAAGAATGAAATAAAGCCAGAAGCCCAGGAGATGACCTGGGCAAACTTTGGTGACGGCCAGACTTGAAGGTCTCCGGGAAGCTCTGATATCTGTGTCTCTGGATCCTGGGGATCTGAGCTGTCTAACCATTATGTCTTTGCAGACATGATGACATGTGGCTTCTGTAGCTAGTGGGCAACGGCCCTGAAGCCTAGCTCTGCCTAGCTCTGCTACCTCGCCTGCTGTACCAGATACTGGTGGCGATGGAGGCCTGTGGAGAAGTCCATTTTAAAGGAACTGAGATTTTTCCATCACCAACCAGCACTGCTCCCCAGAGCAGTGAGTTATCTGTCCTACAAGGGGAACCTGGGCTGCAGGACAGTCCGCAAATGACACAGTATTTGAGAATCTCCAAGCTAGAATCCCCCCCTGACTAAGTAACACACACACACACACACACACACACACACACACACACACACGCACACACATGCATGCGCATGCACACACACATACACATACACACACATGTACACACACACACACATATACACACACAGGCAGGCACGCATTCACGCGCGTGCAATGGGGGTTTCGCTATATAGGTCAAGCTGGCCTAAAACTTGCTTTGAGGTTACAGCTAAACCCAAACTCATGATCCTCCTGCCTCAGGCCCTAAGTGCTGGGATTATAAGTGTGTGCTACCACACCTGACTAAAAGTACTCTCAAATCCTTGACCCACAGGTAACTGGTGAAATTATTAACATTCTTGTTGTTTTTAGCCACTGAGTTTTGGGGTACTTAGTTACACAGTATTATGATTTGTATGTAAAGTATCCTTCAAAAGTTGCATGTGTCGAGGGAGTGGTTCTCTGCTGGCAGTGGCAATTGAGAGGTGACTGGACCATGAGGCCAGGAAGGACATCAGTGGATGGATGAATGAATCCATTGATAAATTCAGGCAAGAATGAGCTCTCAGGAAGTGGGGCCTAAACTCGGGGTGTGGCTTTGAAGAGCCGTTTTGTCCCTGAATCCTTCCACTTCTACTTTTGCTTGGTTGTCTGAACCGAGCAGCCTCTCCTCAGGCTCATGCATGGTGCTTCCGTTTCTCGCAGGCCCAAAATCAAATGGATGCAGCTGACCAGGACCCAAACTCCTGAAATGATGGTTCGAAATAACCCCATGTTCCTTAAAGTGAATTTCTTTTACACATTTTATGATATGGTCGAAAAACTGAGTGGCCCACTCGATGACAAAGAACTTCATTTCTGTCAGAGTTTCACCATCTGGTTCTTCTGAACATGGAGCTGTTGAGGTGGAGTCTCACAAAGAACCTTGAAGACATTTTGTTTCTCTTTTTACAAAAAGAAGAAGAAGATGAAGAAGAAGAAGGAGGAGGAGGAGGAGGAGGAGGAGGAGGAGGAAAGAAAAAAAAAAGAAAATTGAATTTCAAACCAGCAACAGAAAGCTTTTGTAAAATATGACATTTGAAATTCATTTTACTGTTAGTGTTTCTGTGGACACCTATAGCAAAGAGAAAATAAATGCACGCTGTCTTACATGGCCTCTGCAATTCTAACGGGTAAGGCAGCTTGAAATAAAACTATATATGGACCCTTGTTCACAGCAAGGAACGTCTCCCAACCTTTCGATGGCACTTTCTTTAATTCTTTAATTTCTTTAATTCCCCCACCTTTAACTCTTCTGTGCCTCTTTTGGAAAAGTGCAAGTGGTACGCATTACCAGGAACATTAATTATGAAGGGAGGGAACAGGAGTTCCAATAGCTGTTCCCAATGGGAGTCTTAAGGACACCTGCAGGAAGCCACCTGCAGACACCCGGGGACACTGGGCGGTTTCTCCTGTCTCCACCCGCTGAAGTACACTCTGGAGAAGCTAGCTAGCTCCTATCTCCACGCAGAAGAAGATCCGCGGCGCTCGCAGATCTGGTCCAAGGGTCCCGGCGCTTCTGGAGAGCCGCGGAGGCCAGGCGAACAGCAGCTGAGCTGGGGACCCGGGGGCGAGCGCGTGCGGAGCCTTTCCAGGCGAAACGCAGCGCACAGCGCCCGGGCGGTGCCCAGCATGGAGTGGGAGCTGAATTTGCTGCTCTACCTGGCGCTCTTCTTCTTCCTGCTCTTCCTCCTGTTCCTTCTGCTCTTCGTGGTCATCAAGCAGCTGAAGAACTCGGTGGCCAACACAGCCGGGACGCTGCAGCCCGGGCGTCTGTCACTGCACCGGGAACCGTGGGGTTTCAATAACGAGCAAGCGGTGTGACCAGCACTGAGCTGGTCTCAGCTCCGCAGGGATTCAGGTACACCCCTCGGGAGTGGCGGCAGGGGGACAAACTCTTTGCTCCTCCCGGGTCTCCGGACCTTCTCCAGGGTAGGGGACCGCAGCGACAAGAGTCTGGCCAGGGAGCGGAGTTCTTCTAGAGCAAGCCTGATGCCAGGAGGGGAGACTCAGGGTTAGAGGTCAGTTTGGGGGCGAGAATGGATGTACACCTGTGAACTCTTCTTTGCAGACCAACTGCATTTGTGCAAAAGTCTATTATTCAGTCAATTCAGCTCAGCCACTTCTAACAAAATTAATTATCTAAAAGACCTAAGGGTGTGAGCTTTGCTTTGAGGGGCGTTCCAATGTGCACGGGAGAAATGATTCAGGGACCTGTTGGGGGTGGTAGGTTTCCTCCTACTTTTGATTGATTGCTACTCCTAGTCTAACCTGCGGGGTAGTCAAAGGTGAGTTTAGACCCTGGGACATCAGAGGGTAAATATGAGAATGATTCGCTGGGAAATGACCTTTGGACGCGGCATGGAGGGCAGGCAAAAGGGGCTGCTTTGCAGAGTGTAGGGCTAGCTGTGTGAAGGAAGAGGCCTGCCCGTGGTTAATTTATCAGACCTCTTGGAAACGGCTGACCATCAGGAGTAAAACTCACCTGTGCTCCCTAAACAAGGTCAGACAACGCCAGTTTGAGAAATCGTTTCATTCATCATATCCGATCGCTTTTCTTAGATCTGCGTCACCCGGACCCAGGCTGGTGCCCTTGACTGGGTGGCGCCCAGGATCAAACTCCGACCACAGCCCTGCAAAGTTGGACAGTGGGTGGTGGAAATCTTCTTGAGAAAGGTATGTTGGGGCCTCTCACTCAGGCTGGCTGTCTCCAGATCCAGGGCCTATCAAAGAGAAGGGTCGGGATGCAAGAGGCGGGAACCTGGAAATTGAGGGGTTTCTGCTCTGAATTAGAGAGCTTCCTCCAGAATCAAGAACTCAAGGTGATGTCTTGTGGGAACTGTGGGAATGATGGGGCTTGTGGGAATTAGAAAAAGAAGTCAGGAGCATTTGCAAATTTACTAGCCACCCCCCCTTTTTAAAAAATACTACTGAGGTGCAAATATAATTTGTCTTCAGTAGGGAAGGTTTGGGACACACTATGCCATGGAAACACTAATTTTACACACACACACACACAGTCTATGGAGAGTTAAAACCCACAACATCATGTTTTGCCAAGGCTGATGATACAGCAACTACACAGAAGGGAATAGCTGATAATTTAAACGAAAGTGCAAATAGCCCAGTCTAGGGGAGTAACTACCAGAAACGATTTTGGTTGAAGACAATGAGTTGATTTCCTACATATTCCAAGTCATTCAGACAATAAAGTTGATCTTAAATGAAGACAATGGTTTTTTTAGCTATTATTTCTCGGGTAAATTCTTATCTTCTTGTTACATCTTCATCAGAGATACAGTGAGGCTTGATTTCGTTTTTCCAGTCTGAACTGCAAACTCAGCAGCCATGAATTTGTACTGTGATTTGAACAATAGTCCTCTAATTAGCTTATCTCTACGCAGTGATGTTTTGTTACAAGGCTGCATGGTTGTTATGAACATGGACAGTGAACGTGGGAATGACTAATGAGCAATTACATTTGTTTCTAAGGGCAGAAAATAATCATTTCATACTTTGTAAATAATCAGAATATAAATTACTTTTAACCACTAGCTTGACTTCTTGACTTTGTAATCTTTTCATCCTCCTGGTAGTTCCGGGCTCCTGGGGTCCAAGAGTGTAATTCACCCCAAACTTTCACTGACTGGGGAGAACAGAAAACTTGGGCATCTCGGTATTAGGCGGATGTCTGCAGTCTTACTTACAGGCAAGTTGCTAAGCAAGGAGTGGCTGCCTTTCCACAGGGCGATTCTATTACCACTGCACTAACTAATTTGTCAGTTACTGTGTTCTCATTTATGTAGCCCCGCCAAAGATATTTATTCTTCTCACCTGACTTTTACCTGGAACTTATTTCTAGAACACAGGAATTAAGATTCCTCACATCTGCCCTCAGAATGTGTTGGTGACGTCTTTGCCCTGCCCTCTGGTTAGTAATTCTACCTTTGGTAATTCCACAACTGGGGATGAATTGCCTTTTCTATTTTTTTTAATCCAATTACCATTTTCCAAGACCCAGCACAGAACTGACCCTCCACAGCAGAGAAACTTTTTGTTTATTTGTTTTCCGGAGGAGGCAGAGTCTTGATATATACGCTGGACTTGCTGTGTGGCCTGAGTTAGCCTGGACTTGCTTTGGGGACCAGATTGACCTTGGATTTGTCATTCTGTCTCTGCCACCCAACTCTGGTATTACAGGAGTGTGCCGTTGTGCTTGGCTCAAAAAACTACATTTGAACTAGATCTAATGTATTGGTATCCACAGTACTCCTGCATGTATGATTACTCAATTCATTGACCACACCCTAGTCCCAATAGCCCTGAATTCTGATATATGTATAAATAAGATGGGGTCTCACTATAGAGTTTAGAATGCCCTGGAACACACCAGCTGCCTGGTTCATCCCCTGATGAGGATGTACCGCAATGCCTGGTCAATAATACTTTGAAAGATAAGGTAAATATGAATTAGCATTTAAACATTTAGTAAGTCAGGAACACTTAAAATAACTGCTCATTTTGTAAACCTAATTTTATTAAACAGTATTATTATTTTGTTTTCAACACAAGGGCTTCGCAAAGGCTAGAAGGCAAATTTCTTTCATTATGGGTCATAAGAATAAATGCATTATTAATGTTTTATTTCAAATGTTGCTATTTAATAATTAGGTCGGAATTTTAGTTGTTTAAAATGACTTCACATCTTACGAGGGCAATCTCGGTTGTTTGCTGATTTCCAAACTTGTAATCGCAGTGGGTCTACAGTTCCGGCTAGAGAAGATCATTTTAAGTAGGATGGGAATGCTACCACATTCCCGTTTGCAAAATCTAAAATGTCTCATAAAGTAGGTTCCCCATGCTTGTACTTGAATTGCAAGGCCAGGTGTGGCTGTGGGCCTGGAGCCATCTGCTGCAGTCCTACACGTAGCATGGGGGATTTCTCCAGAGTTCACCCTGTGCATGGTCTTCTGGGAGGAAAGGATTTGTTTTTGGTTCATTGCAGAGGTGGAAACTTGGAACAAGGTATGCAAAAAGCATGCGACACCCTATTTTTAATGCAGCATTCTATGTTTCCAATTCTGTCTAGTTTCAGACTAAGTGCACTAGAATTCAATTATAAACGATGAGAATTTTGAGCATTGTGAATGGTTAAGCCATTTAAGGATAGTCGGAATATCCCCCCCCCCCCCACATCATGATTTAGAGACTTTTAGAACTCTCGTTATTCTGACGCAGGGTGTAGACAGTAACTCCAGAGTTCTGTACTTTCAAAATAACATTTTCAGCTAGCCTGTGATATTTGTGTCTCCCTGAGCTGAATCTGCAGTTAAAACAATAAGAGCATTGGGATTTGTCAGACATCTGTTGCCCCATGTTGGACACCATTTTCCAGTGTTCACCTTTCATCCTATGTAGTGACGCCATTTGTCAGAGACCAGCTTTGACAAAAATCCCACTTACCAGGGTAGGGGCATGGGGATTAGAAAAACAGCAAAGAGAACAAAGACATGAGTGAAAATAATAAGACAGAAAACCTAGGATAGTACCAGGAAGGAGTTCTAGTTAATACTGAAATTGCCTGAATTTTATTTTCATTGTCTTAAAATACCTCAATCCCCAAACCCCTCAAACCCAAAAAACTGCATTAACATGATACAAGGAAATGAACAGACCAGTTGAAGGTTACGGGTTACATTTTTAGTTAAACATTCTGTTGTTAGAACAAGACAAGTCACACTCATACCCTAGACCAAAACATTTTGTAGACAAATCACTCCCTGGGTGGAACCCATTGTTATTGACTTAAGGAAGTAGGAACTTAGTTAGATCCTCAGACTTTTGTTAGGGGTAGAAACATATCTACTTCTCTATTCCTGAAATTCAAGGTCTGGATATTAGACATACCTGTTGACAATAATCTTGAGAGAGCAGAACTCTCTAATCTAAATCTAGGCGGAACTTTTGTTTGAGGTAGAAACAGACAGTAAACTTAAAGGAACAGAAGTAAGTTCCAACTCTGACCTTTCGTCAGGGTAGGAAATAGACTCCCATTTTGGGGCCTCCATAGGCCGTGTTTTGTTTTGTTTTTTTTTTCCCCCAGGTTCTGATATGGTTTCCAGGGCTCCTCGCAGGGAGGATAAATCTGAAAGGAAAAACGGTCTGAATTCACTTCTTTCTAAAGAGCTTCTCCCTGGACAGATCCTCTCTCATTGGCTAGAGCTATGTCACTGGCCGATGTCCTGCGTAGGGGTCTTTAACGATAGAGTTGTTGTCTTCAACCAAAATCTGAGCTCTCTAGATAAGAACAATGTGGGTAGATTTGTGTTGGACAACCACAAGTCCATGCCCTGGTTACAAAAAAAAAGTACAGTTCCAGAAAGATAAAACTTGTGATTCCCTGTCACCTTGTGGGGGTGTAAGGTCACACCTCCAAGAGATGTGGCTGAGCAGAGCGAAGATGTCATCTTAATTCTCAGGAAATGTTTGTCAGGACTGGTTTCTTCTCTGGGCAGCTGACATCCCCTGCACCGGGATTTTCTAATCAAGTATCCTGGAAGCCTGTGTGTGTGTGTGTGTGTGTGTGTGTGTGTGTGACTTTATGTGTGTGTGTATGTGTGTGTGTGACTGTGTGTGTGTGACTATGTGTGTAACTGTGTGTGTGGCTGTGTGTGTGACTGTGTATGACTGTGTGTGTAGTTGTGTGTATGTGTGTGGCTGTGTGTGTGGTTGTGTGTGTGACTTTGTGTGTGTGTGGCTGTGTGTGTGTGTGACTGTATGTATGTGTGACTGTGTGTGTGTGTGTGGCTGTGTGTGTGTAGGAGAGAGAGAATGTGTGTGTAGTCAGCGGGTCTTCATGACCTCTTTTTGGAGCTTTGTCGTGGGACCAGTATAGGTTGTTCCCTTCTGCTCCCTTTTGGGCCCCTTCATCATTACCCTGTTAGTTAAATTTTGATGGTAACCAAGTTTTTATGTTTGATTCCCACAAAGGCCATCCCTTTCATATATGGAGGAAGGCACTCTGTGCTCAGAAATGCTACCTCTCTTCCTGCAACTCCACTGTCAACCCAGGAATATCCTGGGAGATCGCCACTGGCGCTGCTTCTACTCACAGCCTACGTACTGGCCAGCAGAGGGGGAAGAAACACTTCCCACACCCAGAGCTGTGCAAAAGAACTTTCTGTGATGTGGAACTGTTCTATATCTGTGGTGCCCAACGCGGCAACTGCTAGTCACATGTGTCTAGTACACACTGAAATATGGCTAGCGGGGCTTACATCTCGTTTCATTTCACCCGAGACAGCCACATGGAGATGGTGGATTTATATGCACTGTTCGTACCATTTCCTTGTGTGTGTGTTTTAGAGTCAGAAGGGGAGGAGGCAACTGGTCGTGTGCTCCACACCCCGTGGGCTTCACTGCTCTTCTTGCATTGAGTTTGTCTCCTTAAGGAAAAAGAAAATTAGTATGTTGGAACTAAATTGAAAATGTTATTATCTACCTATTGCATGTCTTCTTGTACCAAATGGGGTAGGTTTTAGTGACACGTGATCATGGAAAAAATGGCAGGGCTGATCCACCACATCCCCACGACCCCAGTCTGTGTTCCAGACAGAGGTCATTTTTTTTCAAAGACTTATTTGTTTCTTAGGTAAACAGTATTCTGCCTCTATGTCTGCCTGCACACCGGAAGGGGGCTTCAGATCTCATTACAGATGGTTGTGAGCCACCATATGGTTGCTGGGAATTGAGCTCAGGTCCTCTGGAAGAGCAGCCGGTGCTCTTAACCACTGGGCCATCTCTCCAGCATGGCAGAGGTCATTTTGTCTTGTGTTGTGTATTCTATTTTAGTTTACTTTTTATTATCGTAAATGCCAAATGATTATTTTGTGTATGTTTTTCAAAATACCTAATGGTTTATATTTTTTAAGGTTGTGAAATAAAAATAATAATTACACGTAGCTCAGTTTTTTTTGTGTGTGTGATTTTTAGTAACTTGTAACTATCCAAACTTTGTTGTCTAAAATTAGGATATGGTTAATAGAGGAAAAGAGATATTGATTTTTATATGATTTCCCTTTTAATGGACAACCTTATATGCCAATGAGTGTTAACTTTCAAAATCATTAAGCAATTCTTCTGTTATGTTTGAAGTCTGAGTAAAACATGTCATCTCCACGTTCACTGTTGGGGCTGTGGTGTGGAGCTGTAGGAACTGTTAGAGTCCCAGGCAGACTCCTCTCACAGACGCAGATATTTCCTCCCACCTGTGGCTAATCTATGGATGTAATTGGAAATATTTTAAAGATATATTTTTAATTGTGAAGTTTCAAATGTATTCACCTTTTGTTCGTTGCTTTCTGTGTCCTCTTTAGGAGACATTTGCCTCCCCTGCCCTTACCCAGGTTACCAAGAACGTTCTGCTGTGTTTTCTTCTGCGCTAGAAGTACAGTTTTTTGTTTGTTTGTTTTTTGATTTTTTTTGAGGCAGAGTTTCTCTATGTTCCTGGCTGTCCTGGAACTCACTCTGTAGACCAGGCTGGCCTCAAAACTCACAGAGATCCACCTGAGTCCCTCTGCCTCCAGAGTGCTGGGATTAAAGGCGTGCGCCAGACCTGGCTTAGAAGTATAGTTTTTTGTTTTTCAAGACAGGGTTTCTCTGTGTAGCTTTGGAGCCTGTCCTGTAACTCCCTCTGCAGACCGGGCTGACCTAGAACTCCCAGAACTCCACCTGCCTCTGCTTCCCCAGTGCTGGGATTAAAGGTGTGTGCCACCACTGCCCGGCAGAAGTGTATTTTTAACTTATACTAAGTCTGTTATTTATCTTGAATTGAGTTTTGTATATGGTATGTGGTAAAGGATGATTCTCCCCTTTTCTATAAATAAACAAGCTTTCCTCAAAATTTCTCCTTTTCGTTCCTCCTTTCTTCCCTCCTCCCTTGTTCCCTCCTTCCCCCCTCCTTCCTTCTCTCCTTTCTCCTTCCTTTCTCCCTCTTTCTCCCCTCCCTTCTTTATCTATCGAACAGACTTTACTTCCCCCCAACTCACAACATTGCCTTCATCAACATCCAATGGGAACAAGAGTGGCCCTCTTCCTGGGTCTTTTCTATTCTATGGGGCCCTTCCTGCAAATACCAGTGTCTTAGCTCCATAGTGAATCTTGTCATTCATGTACATATCATAACTGGGATTATTAACACAGGCTCCTAGTCACAGGCTGGAGGTCCCCACCAGGAAGCCAGAATATGTGGAATTGAAATAGAACCAGTAAGAAACCCCAGTGAAGGCCAGGCTTCCTTCACTTAAAACTGAGTCCTGATCTGGGGGTGTCTCTGGGTTAAGGAGGGTGCCTCATTGTCCTGTTGGTCACGGCAAACAAGAAGTCCCCCCTTTTCTCTCGGCTGGTACAGTTGCAGGCAAGCAGCTTCCAAGCCCTGAACTCAGAGCTCAGTGATGAAAAGTGTCTGCGTTGTGGTTCATTGCGTCTAGGCAGCAAACTTTGCTTACCCCGTCTTTGAGTACCGTTCCCCATACCCATGCCACCTACACTGCTTTGGATCTTCGTTGTTTGGTTAAAGATAGCCGGCAGTATCTTACCTTGCTGGATATTTAGAAAAGTGATTGAAGACGGAATGGTGTCCAGGAAGGGGATATGTGTTTATGTTTCCACAAACAGAGCACATGTGCCCACCTCTGTACAATGCCTACTCTCCCTTATGAGCATCTTCTCTTCCGGAAGCACGGTGTATTGAGGAATGCTTTGTTATTATGGCGTTCGGTGCGCTCTTAGCACGAGCATTGGTCGTTTCTCTTTGTTTTTTGTCAGTTGCCCATGTCTCTGTTGCAGCATTCTTTTTTTTTCAAAAGATTTATTTATTAATTATGTATACAACATTCTGCCTTCATGTATGCCTGCAGGCCAGAAGAGGGCACCAGATCTCATTACAGGTGGTTGTGAGCCACCATGTGGTTGCTGGGAATTGAACTCAGGACCTCTGGAAGAGCAGCCAGTGCTCTTAACCACTGAGCCATCTCTCCAGCCCCTTCTTCCGTTCTTCATTGGTCGTTTTATGATATGTTCTCTTTGTTGGAGGATTTTGTTTATAAGTGGGAACAAAATAAGATTAAATCTTTCTCCTTTCCCTAACCTTCATTAAATTTCTTCATCACAGCTACCAGATTCTGATTTAACTGTTGTTGGTGGTGGTGTTTTTGTTTGTTTGTTTAGATATGGTCTCAGTCTGTAGCACAGCTGGCCTGCGATTATGGCAGTCCCGCTTCACTCTCCTACCTTAGCTTCCTGAGTGCTGGAATTACAGACATGAGCCACCATGCCCTGAATGGCCACCAAACTGTTATGGACCCTTTTAGATGTGAAATATATATCTATCCATTCATGCACGTATTTTTACATTTTAAAATCTAAATGGAAAACTATATATACATCTTATGGTTTGTTTTAAAAAATGAATCAATCATTCCATAATCATTTATTTAATCCATATTGACTAAAGACCTAGAAGTAATTCTTGTTGCTTAGGCTTGATTCATAAGCAAAGAAGACAGCAGTTCTTTGTTCATGGGGCTGCTTCTAGTGCACACACGTGGCCGCTTCTAGTGTACACACGTGGCCGCTTCTAGTGTACACACGTGGCTGCTTCTAGTGTACACACATGCCTGTTTCTAGTGTACACACATGGCCGCTTCTAGTGTACACACGTGGCCGCTTCTAGTGTACACACATGCCTGTTTCTAGTGTACACACATGGCTGCTTCTAGTGCACACACGTGGCCGCTTCTAGTGTACACACGTGGCCGCTTCTAGTGTACACACGTGGCCGCTTCTAGTGTACACACGTGGCTGCTCCTTTCTAATGATGCCATAGCAGCCCAAGTAAAAGAATCATTTGGTCCACCGACTCTTTCTTAATGTGCATGTAGCTGTCTAGACTTTTGCCATTCCCAGTAACACCACATAACCCTTTGAAATAAATCTGTGATTGGAATATGTATAACTACAGAATAAAATACTAGATGTGGCATTTCTGAGTACATGCAGTCTACAAAACTTTTTATATTTTATTTTTATTTATTTGAATTTATTCTTTAAACAGTTTTTATAGTTTGGGAGAACAGTTTTAGAATTACTGGGAAAATTATGTAGCAAATAGTTTTAAAATACACTTCCTTCCCTGAGTAACACGGTCTCCTCTATTATCCTTAACACCCTGTATCAGTATTGTACCTTTATGCAAATGTAAGTTTTAAACGTCTGTGGGTAAATGCCCATTGCTGGAGAACAGTTGCCTTGCTGACATTGTTGTACTGATGTTGACCTGTGTCTGCATGGCTTAGGCTAAAATTCACTCTACCTTGTATTGCTAGCTGTTTTAACAAGCTGAGGTGGCATGTATTACATCAGAAAGAAGTTCCAGCCAGGCGGTGGTGGTCCATGCCTTTAATCCCAGCACTCGGGAGGCAGAGGCAGGCGGATCTCTGTGAGTTCGAGGCCAGGCTGGTCTACAGAGCAAGTTCCAGGACAGGCTCCACAGCTACTGAGAAACCTTAAAACAAGTTCCACTGCCCTAAAAATTAGTGTTCCATCTCTTTCTCTCTTCCTCTCTCCTGAAGCCCCAGGCAATCACTACTCAGTTTACAGTTTCTTGGTTTCTGTAGGATGCAGCTTTTTTTTCCAGATTGTTTTTTTTTTCTTCTTCTTTTTTAATTCAGCAACATGAATTCAAGCTTCTTCCTCATCTTGCTGTGGACCAAGCAAGATGGTAGCTTCTTCCTACCTTGCTATACTAAACTTTGTTCCTGCACCCACTGAAGCACATCCTGCTTGCTTTCAAGGTTTCACAATTATGGATAAACCTTCTGTGAACTTTTCCATACAAGTTGCTGTGTGGACAAATCTTTCCGGCTTCTGGGGATAAACACCACGGAGAGAGACTGTGAGACTGTGTGGAAAGACAATCTGTAGTTTTGTCAAATGGCTGTCTAACCTTTCCAATAGAGAGGGGTTCCAATTGCTCTACAGCGGGAACATTGTCAGCACCCACTGTCACTGGGGTTTTCTGCATATAGTCTCACTGACTTTGTAAGGAAGGGGGAAGCGCGCACGCCACAGTGCACGCGTGAAACTCAAAGGACAACTTGTAGGAGTCAGTTCTCTCCTTCCACCACGTGGTCTCAGGCCATCGGATTTGGGGGCATGCGCTTTCCAGCAATGAGCCATCTCTCCAGCCCCCAGTGCTTTCTATTTTGGAGAGTTAGGTGTGCAGAAGTGTGTCATTGTGTAGTCCGCAGTTCCCTGGCAACACCGGATGCTGAGCATCATCCCACGTGCTCATCTGACATCTGTGTATCTTCCTTGCTCGGGTTTATCTTTAGACCTTTTGCCTGTTTTTTATTTGATTGCTTGTTTTCTTAGTGTGTGATTGAAGAGTTCTTGCTGGGTTGCCTCGTCCAGCCTTGGTGAGGGAGAGGAGCTTGGTTCTGCTTCAACTTGATGGGCCAGGCTTTGTTGACTCCCATAGAAGGCCTGCCCCTTTCAAGAATGGAGGAGTAGATGGAGGAGGGAGGGGTGTAGATGGGAGGTGGGAGGAGAGAATGGGAGGAGAGGAGGGGGAAACGGGATGGTGTGTAAAATAAATGAAAACATTTTAATAAAAAAACTGAAGAGTGCTTTGCATATTATATTCTTCCTCACATTGCTTTGTGAGTTTCTGCTTCCCCGCCCC